ATTTTTAAAAAACATTCCTATGGGGGCTGGAGAGATGGTTCAGTGGTTAAGAGCACTGGTTTCTTTCCCAGAGGACCCAGGTTCAATTCCCAGCACCCACATGGCAGCTCACAACTGTCTGTAACTCCAGTTCCAGGGGATCTGACACATTCACACCAATACACATTTAAATAAATTACTAACTAATAAATAACTAATTAAATAAATAAATAACTCAGTGGTAGAGTGCATATCTAGCGTTTAGGAACCCTATGTTCAAGACCCTGCACCCCGAACCAGGCACATCCTTAAAGCCATGTGTGGTGGCATACTCTATAATCCCAGCACTCAGGATGGTGCAGCAGAAGAATTCCAAATTTAACTCCAGTGGATCCAGCACCTGTTTCCTGGACTCCCAGGGCATCTGCACTCATATGGACAGATACAGACATATGCATAATTTTTTTAAAAAATTAAATGCTTTTAAAAACAGATATTGCACGGTTTATTGTAATCACAACACTTAGTAAACAGAAAAGAGGATGACCTACAAGTTCAAGGGCAGTTTGGGCTACATCATTAGTTCTAAGCCAGTCAGTGCTAGATAGAAAAACCCTGTCCCAAAAAAGAAAAGAAGGAAAACAAAAATTAAAAAAGAAAAGGGAAACATAAATAACCTGCTAGCCAGATGCACATCTATTTTCCATCCTCAGAAGGTGAGTGCAGAAAGAGCAAAAGTTCAAGGCCATCCTCTACCGCAAAACCTTTGCTTCATAAGATCCTGTCACCAAATAGGAAAATGAAATGAAATATTGAATAAATCTAGAACCTTTGAGGTGAGTTTTCCAGTATAGTTGATTTAATCTTTCTCCAATTTGAATAACTTCATAATAAAATATTAGAGGAACAGGACACTGTGTTTTGTCTTTTTCATATATGTACATATGTGATATATATATATATATATATATATATGACTTGTATGATCACAATATAGTTATCAAATTGAGAAAAGTTCTGATATAATACAGCTTATATTCCAATTTCACCAGGTTTTCCCAAGGTCTTTATGGAGAATTCAGTCTAAACCTCAACATTGAATTTAGTTATCATATGTCTTTGGAATGCCTTTAAAAAGCTATTGTTTTTCAGCCTTTCTTTGTCTTTTCTGGCATTATTTTTTTTTCTCCATAGTGGTAAGCTTGTTGTCTAAGTTTTACAAATGAAGTGAGTAAGGTGCAGAATTCTTAAAATAATCTTGCTCAGATCAAGATTAAGATGAAGCAATTATAAATGTTAGAACTGATAATGATGCTTATAACACCACATGTCTGTGCACACATATTTTTGAAACGTATACACTGTTGCTGTATTAACTTGCCTTTTTATTTTCAAGTGATTCCATTCAGCTTATGTACATCTGGCAAGAAAACTATATAACACAAGTATTTGTAAGACAAAGTCTCACTATGGAACCCACACTGGCTACAACTCACCATATAATCCAGACTGACCTGGAACTTGCCATTTTTCTGTTAGCTTCTCTAGCTAGTGTCATGATTAGAGAAATAACATACAAACCAAGCCATGCTTCTTAGAGTATCCTATCAGAAAGTATACAACCTCAACATGTCACATTATTCATAGTGTGAACTTTAACCATTTAATCAAAGCACTGCTCTCCAGATTTCTGCACTTTAAAGTCACTGCTGTCCCTATGTTATTACAAAGTATCTTTGGGGAAAGGAAGGGTGTGTATAAAAAAGAGAGTAACTTGTGACTATCTTGTTCTGAATCAAGCTTTCATCCAGCATGTTTTGTGCTCATTGGTGATTCTGTATGTGTGTGTGTGTGTGTGTGTGTGTGTATGTATGTATGTATGTATATATGTATATATATATTGACCACTCTTGTGCATATTTTGGTATGCTTGTTTGTTTATTTATGTGTTTGTTTCTTTCTTTGAGACTTGATCCCATCCTGTAGCCCAGGCTGGCTTGGGATTTAGTATGTAGCCAAGGCTGATCTCAAACTCATAGCAATCTGCCTGCTTCAGCTTCCCAAGAGCTCAGACTATAGATGTGAACTGCAACACTTTTAATTTAACCATTTTTAAATTTTGAGAGAAGCTCTCACTAATTTGCCCACATTGGCTGTTAACTTACTCTGTAGTCCAGACAGGCATTGAATTTACAATCCTCCTGCTTCAGCCTCCTGAGTAGCTGGAATTAAGCTGCCCTATGAGGGCCAGCTTAATTTGTTCATATGCTATTTTCACATTTTTTTCTCTTCTGAGACTCACCATGTAACCCAAGTGGGCCTCAAACATGTGATTCTCCTGCTTCAGGCTGCTAAGTGGTGGAATTATATGCATGTGCCACCATATGTGGCTATTGCATTCTCTGTCTCTGTCCTTTCTCTTCCATTTTCTGGAGTCAGGGTCTCTTGTAGCTCAAGGTGGAATTCCCTGTGTAGCCAGGCTGATATTGAACCCCTGATCCTCCTGCCTCTATATCTTGAGTGCTTGTATTACAGGTATGCACCACCATGGTCATTTTATTCCCTCTCTTTACATTGAGACAAGTTACTTTCCTTTCAACCCACATCTCCTTAACTCTCCAAATAGTGGAATAATTCTGTAGGGTTTTGCTTTCCAGTGGGACCTGAAAGAGTAATCACAAAGTATGTTCCATGCCCTTAAAATAAATGCAACTTGGGCTTGGGGTTTATCTCTGTGGTAAAATACTTGCCCAGCTTGAATGGGGTCCTATATTCAATCCCTTGCACTGCAAAATAAATAAATCCAAATTATAAATAGATTGATTTTATTTTGCTGTTACTTGTGATTTTCCTTCTTGGGAGTATTATTATTTTCTAGTGAAGCACCTCAGTTTTATAATCCTCTATATTCCAGTAAACATAACTGGACCAAAAACCAGAGGCACCCTGAGCTGTGAAGCATTAGCTTTCATTTTATAGAAGACTGTTAGATGTCGGATGAAAACTGGCTGAGACCGCTAAAGATCTAAAAAAGAGGGAAATGCTTCTTCACAATCTTCCTTTTGCTCGCACCAACAAAATTAACTAGTAAAAACGCATTGCAGTCTGTGAAGCCCTCTTGGTACTCTAAGTTTCTAGTGAAGAATTTTAAAATACCACTAAGAAATTTAAAAAAAAAAAAACTTTTTTAGGGGCCATAGCAATTGCCTTTGTGTGGTTACGCACTTAGTGTAAGTGCTGCCAAAATGGCAATAAATAAATAAATAAAATTTAAAATTTGTATTTGTGGTGTGTGTGTGTGTGTAGGCACCTGTATACTGTACATATATGGAGATCAGAGGACAATTTGCAAAATCCGAATTCACAGATCTGCCAGCCTCTGCCTTTGGGATGAGTGAGGCTGGGATAAAAGGCATGCGCCAACACACGTGGTTAGAATATTTTTAAATTTTTATTATTTTAAATCATATGTTTGTGCTTCTTTTGGTATCTGCACCAAGAGCAGATGTGTGAGGAGGCCATGAAATCCTGGCCCCAATAGCTGGAGTTGCAGGCAATTGTGTGCACCTCAACCTGGGTAATGGGAACAGCCATTTGCAAAACAGTATGCATGCACTCAAAAAAGAGAAAAAAAAAAATGCCTGGCTATGGTGGCACATGCTTTTCATGTCAGCACTCAGGAATCAGAGACAGGCAGATCTATGAATTTGTGGCCAGCCTGGTCTATAAAACAAGATCCAGAACAGACAGGACTGTTATTCATCGAGAAACAATGTCTCGAAAAACCAAAAGAAAAAAAGAAAAAAAAAAAAGAAAAAAGAAAATTGATTGTGCATCAGGTGTGGTGCCTGGTTCTTGGGGGCAACAGTATAATGCACCAGATCCCCTGGAACTAGGGCTTTGGTCCGTTGTTAGCTGCCATGTGGGTGCTTGCAGCGTCCTCTGCAAGAACAGTTGAGACTTTTCTCCAACTACTGTTCAAGAATATTATACTAAATAAGTAGGTTTCAAAAAACAAGCAAACAAACCAAAAAAAAAAGTTTTTTGATCTAAGATGCCTTGTAGTCCTGGTTAGACTGGAACTCTTGAAGGTTTGTTTAATCCTCCTACCTCCATTTCCACCTCCCACCTGCTAAGAATTTGGTTGTGAGAAACTATGAGCCCCCCCCCACACACACACACAACAAAAGGCTTTTTCTGTGGCTTCGGAGGCTGTCCTAGTATTCGCTCAGTAGACCAGGCTGGCCTCGAACTCACAGAGATCAGCCCCCACCTCTGCCTCCCTAGTGCTGGAACTAAAGACGTGCGCCACCGCCTGGTGAGACCTAGCGCTCTCCCTCTCTCCCTCTCTCCCTGTCTCCCTCTCTCTCCCTCTCTCTCCCCCTCTCTCCCCCTCTCCCCCCTCCCCCCTCTCCCCCTCTCCCCCCCTCTCCCCCTCTCCCCCTCTCCCTCTCCTCTCCCTCTCCCTCTCCCTCTCCCTCTCCCTCTCCCTCTCTCCCTCTCTCTCTCTCTCTCTCTCTCTCTCTCTCTCTCTCTCTCTCTCTCTCTCTTTTTTATGAGACAATCTTAATTGCTCAGGTGGGCCTGGAACCCTGACAATGAAGCCAAAGATGAGCTTGAATCCTTAGTGCTCTTGCCTTCACATTCCAAACCCGATTGGAGACTTGCATTACTTAGACCGACTCGAATTTCAAACAATCCTAAATGAACGCTTTCTGAAGGATGAGTCCATTTTTAAATGAACAAATCATTTTATACAACGTTCCCCAACTCCCCCCTCCCGCAAAAAAGGCGCATCCTTTCACAGCTGCGCAAGCGCGTTGAAATTTGTTAACCGCGACGTCTTTACGCACCACGAAAGGAGGGCGGTGCAGTCTTTTTTAGCAGACCAGTAAGAAACCTCCAGATTATCCTTTCCCTATTGGCTTCCTGGAACCAATCGGAAGCGAGCCGGTTTTTAGCGGGCGTCTGCTGCGTGTGACGTTATGTGAGGCTTCGCCCTGCAGGGCTGAGCTGGGCCAATGGGGAGCCGCAAGGGTTCTGTTCACCGGTTCTCATGCCCCACCCTCGAACCTTGCTGGAAGAAAGTTTCGCCAGGCGGCCAAGGAAGACCAGCGAACATGGCCTCGCCGAGGTGGCTCTGGTGTGTGTGTGCGACCGCGGCGGTGGCTCTGCTGCTCGTTTCCAGGGTTCCCTCGGCCTCTGCCCAAAGAAAGAAGGAGGTGAGGCGGCGCCTGCCAGCGGCAGGGACTTTCCCGGCTTGGGGATAGAGAGGGTCAGCTCACTCCTTCCCCGGAATATGTGCTAGGCGTGACTTGGATTCCGTCTTTGGGAGGAAGTTGGCTTCACAAAAGCGGGAGCTGTAACTTTTTGTGTTGTAGGGTTTCGAATCCAAAAGCAGGCTGGAGCGGGTAACCAGCTGGCTTCCATCAGCTGGGAAATGTGCAAGTACAAGTTGTGACACTCTGGAGTTCAGGTCAATTTACTACCCAGAGGGTATATTGCAAGCTTCTGTTGTCGACCCTGGAGCTCCCTCGGATGTGTTGTAAGAGCTGTCTGTCTTGTCATCCCAGGAGTAGATGAGTGAGATGATGCCAGTTTCGTGCCCACTTATCAGAGTGCTCAGCTGTGTTCTGTATGATCGACCGACTCGAATGAGCACACTGACAACCCATGCTGTCCCTTTGTAGAACAGACAGATTTTGAGATGTAGAAAACATACAGTATTCCTTTCTGCTTAATTTTATTTTTAAAACATTTTCGCACTATGTAGCCCATGCTGGCCTCAAACACATGACAATCCTGCCTTTGCCTTCCAGGTATTGGGGTTACAGGTGTGAGCCACTATACCCAGCTTTTTTTTTTTTTTTTTTTGAAACTTGATGTTGAGCAGTCTCAACAAGTGGTTCTTAACACTGTATATTTGAACGTTTGTAACGTAGACCCTTATACTCCTAGAGCTTTAAAACACTAACAATTAGTAATAGTTATTTATATCCCCTAATTTTCTGGTACAGAAAACTAACCCTTCGGTTTACACAGTTAACTACTATAGTTAAAGTAGACTAAAGCTCTTCATTCCAATGCCATTTCCTGTGCATTCTGCACTTTCTCTTGTACACAAAACATATGTGTACATTTTTGAAATGCCCATTAAACATTACAGCTGTTAAGTTAAATCAGTAAATAAACTAATTTTTGTATCTGAGTATTTGAATTATTTTATAAGACTAAAAACTAAGCCAACCCTGGCATGGTGGCCATGCCTACATTCAAAACACTGAAGTGAAAGAGGAACAGGAATTCAGGGTCATCCAAGTGAGTTGGAGACTAGTCTGGGCTACATGAGGCCCATTTGAAAAATGAAAAGCTAGTAAATTAAATCATTGAACTAGTGAAGGTGGCAGAGGAAAGTAAAAAAAAAAAGTATAGTTATCAAAGATATGATCTAGTGAGCAGTCTCTGTGTTAGGCCAAGAAATTGGGATGGCTTTTTTATGTTTTTTACTATTTGGTTCATGAATGTATGCTCACCACCTCCATGGAGGCCCCAAAAGGATGTGGAATCCCCTGGAACTATGGTTGAAGACAGATGTGGCCTGCCATGTAGGGGCTAGGAACCAATCCTGTGTGCTGTGCAGAAGCATCAAAATCTCTTAACATGAGTTATCTCTCTCTCTCTTGTCCTGGATGTGCCTTATCAGCACAGGATTCTTTTCTGGGGAGGTGGGGGTTAAGACAGGGTTTCTCTGTGTAGCCCTGGCTGTCCTGGAACTCACTCTATAGACCAGGCTGTCCTGAAACACAAGAGATCCACTTGCCTCTTCCTCCCAATTGCTGAATTAAAGGCATAAAGGCATGCACCACCACTACTTGTTGCCCAGGCTTTTAACTTTTATTTTAATTTATATTTATTTATCCTTTTTTTTTTTTTTTTTTTTTTTTTTTTTTTGAGACAGAGCTTCTTTTTGTATCCCTGGCTGGCCTGGAACTTGCTCTGTAGACCAGGCTGACAGGTTTCTTGTTTTTGGTTTTTTGAGACAGGGTTTCTCTGTGTAACTGCCCTGGCTGTCCTGGAACTCAGTCTGTGGACCAGGCTGGCCTCAAACCTTCCTCTTCCTCCCAAGTGCTGAGACGAAAGGCATGCACTACCACAACCTGGGAAACAGACAAGTTTATTACCTTTTTAGCTGTTTTTCATTTTGGGGGCTGGAGAGTTAGCTCAGTGTTATGCAGTACTTCTGCAGAGGACCTGAGTTCAGTTCCTAGCACCCATGTCAGGCAGTTTACAACCACCTATAACTCTAGCTCCAGTGAATATGGTTTCTCTGGCCTCTGTGGGCACCTGAACTAATGCCCATACCTAACTCACATGCACAAACCTATACACAGAACATACAACTAAAAAGAAATCTTTCTGTGTCTGAGTGGTTTGCCTGCACATATGCATGTGTGACATGCATGCAGTGTCCACAGTGATCAGGGATGTCCTTCTGTATGCTGTGAATATATGTTTCTCTTGCTGGTTGATGAATAAATGCTGATTGGCCAGTAGCCAGGCAGGATGTATAGGCAGAGCTACCAGACCAGGGGAATGCTGGGAAGAGGTAAGCAGAGAGGAGCCGCCAGGAAGATGCCATGTACCCACATAAGGAGTAATATGCCAGAGCATTAGGGGTAAGCTACATAGTTTAATAGAAATGGGTTAATAATTAAGAGAGCTAGCCAATAAGAAGCCTGAGCCATTGGCCAACAGCTTATGATTAATATAAACCTCAGTGTGCTTATTTAAGCTGTGGAACCAGGCAGAACTAAAATTCCATCTTCACCAGAGACTGAAAGAGAGAGGGTGTCAGATCTTCTGACCCTAGAGTTACAGGCAGTTGAGCAGTGCAGTTGTGAGCTACCTTGTGGATGCTGGGAAACAAAATTGTCTCTGCAAGAACAGCAAGTACTCTTAAGCAAGTACTACCAACTAAATACATCCTCAGCCAAAACCTTGTTTTAAAATTTTTGTTTTAGTTTTGTATGTGTGTCTGTATGAGTGAGTGAGTACATGTGTCTAGAAGTACCTGCAGATACCAGATGATAATGTCAGATTCCCTTGGAGATGTGGTTACAGGCATTTGTGGGCTGTCTGAACTCCGGTCCCCTTTTTTTTTTTTTTTTTTCTTCTTCTTTTTTTTTGTCTTTTGAGGCAGGGTTTCTTTGTGTAGTTCTGACTTCTGGAACTCTCTCTGTAGACCAGGCTGGCTTCGATTGGCCTCGATCTCATGGAGGTCCACCTGCCTGTGCCTCCAGAGTGCTGGGATTAAAGGTGAGCCCCACTACCAGCTCTTAAGCCTTCTTTCTATATCAGGTATACTAAATTATCTGCCTTTCCTGATCTTCTATACTTGTACAAATGTCTCCACATGCATTACATTGCTGGAGGAACTTTTCCTTAACCACCTTTTCTTTATGTTGATTTAGAGTCTCATGCCTACACTGAACTTGAGCTAGCTCAAGTAGTGCTGGGATTACATGTGCATCAGTGATCCTGTTTCCAACTCTGTAAGTCTTGAACATTCCCTGATCCTAAGGCAACATAAATTGACATGATTGTAGCACATGATACTGACATGATTTGTATATCAGCCTTTCTCATTAAATTATGAGCATCTTAAATGTAGACACAAATTTTCTTTCTGTGTCAATGAATCTAGGAGTGGTGGTCTGTTCCTGTTATCCCATCATTTGAGAGGCTGGGGCCTAGGTTACATAGACCACACCTAGCCTCTGCAGTACTGGGAAATAACCTGGGGCTTCCTTCCATCTTTCTGATGACTTTAGCTTGTGCCAAGTTGATTAAAAAACTAGCCAGAATACCCAGTTTAAAACAGTTTTGAACCCAGGGCCTTATGCTTGCTGGATAAACACTGCCACTAAGTTACATCTTCCAGTGACAAAATTTTTAAATATAAGGCTAAAGATAGAGATTGGTGGTAAAATGTTTATGTAGCATGCTTAAGGCCTTGAATTCAGTCCTCAGTACAGGCTAAGGTAATTATATTTCTTACTTGATGTTGCTTTCTATTTTTTTGTTTGTTTTTTGTTTTGTTGTTTTGGTTTTTTGTTTTTTGTTTTTTTGTTTTTTTTTTTTTTTTTTTTTTTTTTTTTTTTTTTTTGAGACAGAGTTTTTCTGTATTGCTTTGGAGCCTGTCCTCAAACTAGCTCTGTAGACCAGGCTGGCCTGGAACTCACAGAGATCTGCCTGCCTCTCTACCTCCTGGGTACTGGGATTAAAGATGTGTGCCACCAACTCCAGGCTATTTTTATTTTTTTTTTTCTACTATTTTTTGTTGTGACCTAGGTTAATCTTTTTTTTTTAAGATTTATTTATTATGTATAGTGTTCTGCCTATATGTATACACCAGAAGAGGGCATCAGATCTCATTACAGATGGTTGTGAGCCACCATATGGTTGCTGGGAATTGAACTCAGGACCTCTGGAAGAGCAGCCAGTGCTCTTAACCTCTGAGCCATCTCCCCAGCCTCTAGGTTAGTCCTAAAAGGGATAAATGCAAAAAGAATAGCAAAGTGTGATTTAAACAATGATCATGATGTTTGAATGACTGTATTCCTGTTTCTCGGTTCTCAAAAAAAGTCATATTTTAAAGAGGATTTGCTTTAATCCAATCATACTGAACTGTAGCAAGTTGCTGAGTCTTGTTTTCAGCAGCAGCAGATTGGGGGAAATCCCCATTATTTTGGCTTTTGTGAAAGTTAAATGAGATGAGCTCAGTCCATAGATTGTCTAATGGGTTTTCTAATACACTACTTGGAATATAAAATATATGTGATCATTTTCTTCTATGAATAGATGGTTTTCAATTGCTGTTTTGCTCTTTTGGTTACAGGGCTCATACCTAAGGCCTTGCACATGCTAGGTAAGCCCTCTGCCTCCATGCTCTACAACCAATTCTTTAGTGCATCTTTTTGTGATTCATTTTTTTTCAAATAAAGTGAGTTCAGAAAGAATTATCTTTTATCTTTTTTTTTCCGAGATAGGGTATATTTGTGTGACAACTGGCTATGCTAGAACTCAATTTGTAGTTCAGGCTGGCCTCGAATTCACAGAGATCTGCCTCTGCCTGTGCCTCCTGAGTGCTGATATTAAAGGCACTTGCCACACCACCAGGCCATGAATTACCTGCATCTTTTATTAGGCAAGCTACCACTTG